GCTTTAAAGAGAGACTTGTGTAGCATCTCAGTTGGTTAGAGAAGGATGCTAATGAGATTCATCTTTTATTATTTGTTGTTGCATTAAAGCATCTGTTTGCCAGTTTCAGGCCTCTGTTAGCAAGTTATGACTAAGAGTGACATGATCAGATTTGTGTTTTGAAAAGATCACATTCCCACTGTGATGTAGGCAACAGGTCAGAGAGAGACAAGAGTGTGGGTGCAGGACTACCAGCTAGGAGGCTAGGGAGTTGTTTAGGCAAGATGGATGTGATGGCAGGAGGAAGAGAAGTGGGTGAATTTGAGTTGTAATGACAGTAGAATCAGAAGTGCTTGTTGGTTGACTGGACCAGGGTCTAGGGGTGGTGGGGGGGGGGTGTGTGATGGGGGGACGGGGTGCAACAGGAAAGCAGGTGATGAGGATATTTATAAAGTGTCTGGCAAAAACAATAATGGTGCCATTTATTGAGGTATGTGACACTGAAGGAGGAGCAGGTTTAGCGGGTAGAAGGATGAGTTTGACTTCAGAATTAAATTTAAGGTTCCTGTGAGATATCTAAGGGGAGGTGGCAGTTGAGATGTATGCACTGGGCCTCAGCGGTAAGATTTGGAATAAAGATATAAATTTCAGAGTCTTTGGCCACATGAAGAGGCAAGATTACCTAGGGGAAGAACAGAGCAATCTGTCTGGTGAACCATCTACATCAGAATTGATGGAGCTGCCACTTGGGGCTGGAACTCAGGCCCCAGGAATTGGCTAAAGCAATTGGCAAGCCCCTTGGTAATTCTCATGCATGCTAAAGTTTAAGAAGCACTGATACAGCATGTGAAAGGATGAACATCTAAAATTGAGCCATGGGAGTAAAGGGACCTGAGATATTTTCCTTTATAGAATAAAAGAGATAAGAATGGAGACAGAAACCAAAGGGTAGGAGAAGGAAGCGGAGAGGACATGCAGGCTGCCAGCTATGTCCTACTAAGGGAGAAGTGAGATCCACTGTAGTTGTAAGAAAGGAGGGGATGAGATTAGGATCAAAGAATGGAAAACATTTTAAAAATCATTCAGGGAATTGTTAGTCAGCTAGAGATACAAGGATTGCCATGTAACATTGAAGGCCCACTTTGGAATGTAGTAGCAAAAATTTCTCATGATTTTGTAAATTTCTTTAACAGAGCTGAGAATTGGAGGAGTGAGCCACCAGTGGAATTAAGCTGGTCTGGTGGTAGTCAAGGGGACCAGGAATACTAGGATGTTATTAATAATGGATTATCATTAAAGTATACTAATTCACCATAGGGTTTAGGCAAGTAAAAATAAGACTGATTGGAGGGGAAGGGAGGATCAAGAGAGTGAAGAGTATAACGATGAGGACATGGAGCTAGGTTAGAGGAGTGAGTATCAGAGAAAACAGGAAGCTGTGGACTGAGCAAGCAGTTTTCAAAGTTTAAGATCTTAGAGATGGGCCTGAGAGATGATGGGATTGGAGTAGTGCGTGCGTGGGTGGCTACAGTAGAATGGAGGTTAAGTTAATTATGAGCTTGAATGTTGCTTATGATGGCAGGGGATGTGATAAGAAGTACTTGTGAACCAGGTGATCATATCATCAAGAAAAGATGAGATTGTTTCTTATAGGTCTGTAGATGGTAGTTCACAAAGATGGGAAGAGAGTGATAAGCTGGCATTAGAGGGTGGTATAAATTTAATTCAGAAACTCAAATGATATGTTAACTCCTAAGCCTTGGAGATTTCAAAGATAAAAGAATAATTTGAATCATTACAGTTAATCCATATATTGTGCTTACTAGGCACCAGACATTGTGCTAAGCATGTTATGTATGTTAACTCATTTGATCCTTACAACGACCCCATGAGGTAGGGGTGTTGTTAATAAACCCATTTCACAAAGGAGGACCTGAGGCACAGCGAGGTTTAGTAATTTGCCCAGTGTTATACAGTTGGTCAGTGATGGAACCAGAAATTGAACCCGAGCAGTCTGCTGCTAAAGTTGGGGCTCTTAACTGGCTCACTATACTGTCTGTCTCAGAAACTGAACTTGGATATTTTTAAAAAGTTATTCTTGTGGGTGCCAATCTCTTGGAAGTTAATTCTTTTAGGAAAAAAGTTGAAAATTAAAAACAACATTAGTTCTCATCTTACTTAAGTTATACTCATGCATTCTAGAAAATGTGAAAATATAGAAAAGCACAAAGTATATAAGAAAACTAGTTCCTTGTAACCATAATCCTGGAGATAGGACGGTACCTTTTCGCTGGCCTTGCAGGGCTTGCTGTTACACTATCACGAAAACATCCCTTCCTGCTTCTGCTCAGAGGGGAGGGCACTGTAACCAAGCTGCGCTCCCCTTCACAGCTCAGCTCCCAGGCATGGTCTGCTGGTCAGGTGGTTGGAGCCCCTTACTTCTCCCATCTGCCTACCGCTTGGGTGAGAGCGTTCACTGTTAGATTCCAGGAGTTTCCTCAGAAAGCTCGTTCTTCTTCTTAACCCAGCCTGTGTGGGCCCTTGTTTTTTCTTCTCCAGAAACCCATATTGGCTTCTCACCCTGTCACCCAAAGCTGTCCAGAACTGTGGAGAGTCTGAGGTTTTATGGTACTTCCAAGCTGATGGGTTAGTCTGCCAGATTCGTGGATGTTGGTTGTAGACATGAGACTCCTGGGTTAGAGACAAAGGACCTCACTACTCACAGCACAGCAAGCGCATGAGTTTCCTGTTCCTGTCAGTTCCCCAGGATTCCCAGCCCCATGGGGCCATGCGGCCTAGGTGGAGGCTGCCCCCACAGTGGGCTCGTGTCTACAGCTGAGGCACCCTGAGCATAGGGAACCCACATTATTTATAATGGGCTGCAGGTGAACCTGTCTGCCCTTTGCTCTGTAAGGGGACATTACCTTCTTATACTAGACAGGAAGCAGATCTGCTTCTGCTTCAGAGAGGCACTGTCTCTATCTTCCAAGGCTGTTTGCTCTACAAATGTCCTTGAGAAGACAGTCCAGAACAAGGACCGTCCCTGTCTCTGCTTGTGAGAGGCGCAGAAATGGGAGAGACCTATGGAGCGTTGTCTCCCAACACAGAGAGATGTATTTGAAGAAAAACAAGTTTAACTGCTAAGAAATATTTCTCACCAAAATGTCAGAGGAAGTATGTAAATCTTATGGTGATTGATTCCCAAACATTTATTATTATCCTAACACACTTATTGTTACGTTATTATAATTGTTTAAGATAATAATTATAACACATACTGTTTCAACACCTTTTTTTGGACAGCGGGTCTCAAATAGTTCCAAGGAGCACTGCTGTCTAGCTTGCGCATTATGGCACTGTTATACTGTTTAGCTCATATAGCATAACCCTTATGACACATGTGCTATATGTTTTGGAGCCCCAGTATCCTTGGGGCTGGTTGGGGCAGGCAGGATTTGGGCTCCTGTCAGAGTCAGGCAAGGACAAAGCTGAGAGGGTATAACACACATACACCAGAGCACTTACCCTTTTTATTTGTTTTCTTTATAGGCTTTCCACATAATATTTGATGTGCGGTAAAAAGGTTCTTGCTTAGAAAAAAAAGATTATTGCTTAGAATGAGAGAAAGAAAGAAAAAAAAATCCCCATTAGAAGGTGGTGGGCATCTTTTGGTGCCTAAATTGTTTGAAAGTTGTGCAATGAAGATTCAGAGACTCTCAGTAAAATGGGAGTATGTTTTTAATAGTGTGTTTTGTGACTGTTCATGTTTCATCTCACTTGAGTAATAACTGCTGTTGGATCTCGTGTGTTCAATCAAATGCAAGTCTCATTCACTCTGGTTCACTGGCCTCCTGAGCCGTGAACACGTAAGGGCGCTGACTCTCACATCTGAGCATGGATTTTGACCTGCCAAGGGCAGCCCCATGGGGAGACTAGACTAATAGAAAAGGCCGCTTCAACTCTGAGTCCTTGTTTAGGGCTGGCAATACTCACCCCTCCCTGGTTTAGGACATGCCCTTTTATCTCTTGAATTTGAGAACCTGGGGTGCTGTGATTCAAGTGCAACCTTTTCCTTTAATTCAGAAACCAGAAAATGATATTTAGGGCAAAATGGAAAGAAGTGTGTGTTTTTATAACTTGTATCTTTAAACTATTTTTAATGTGGAAGGAAAGATTGCATGATTTGTTGAGAAACGTGGATATTTTTATACTTTGTTGTGTTAGATGTTGTAGATGAGTGCATAATGATAAAATATCATTATGAATCTTTAAGGTCAGGTACAGATTCAGTCATTTGGTGGCTTTTTAAGAATATAATAAAGTTATTTTTGTTTTTTTGCCATGTCCAATAGGTTTCAAGTTTAAAAGTCTGGCCTCTAGTTCAGCCCTGAGGTCAGAATTCTTTTTATATTTATAAGAAAATTGTGCATAATGATTCTTTATTATATTGCAGCCTCGTGGATTAGTGACACTTCCGTGTAATGTGAAGAAAGGAATGATGGATAGTTGATAGAAACCCTATCCATCTGCTCAGTTTCTGGTGCGGGGCGACCGTGAGGAGTTCTCTGGCTGCGCGGCAGAGGGCTCTGCAGGCTGTGGGGCTGCGAGAACTCCTATGCTCTCTGGTGGATGGGTGCATGCGGCTGCGCCAGGCTGGCTGTCCGTTGACGGGCGTGTGCCTTCGTCAGCCTTTCATCCCTGCTTTAGAATCACAGAGAAAAATTCGTTACTCTTCTTTCTTGGTGGAAAGTGTTAGGAAAGTAATTAATTGTTTAAAGTGGTTCTGCAAAGTGTTTTTATGAATTTTTTGGTACTTTCTTCAAAGCTTAATGGTATTTTACCTAATTTTGAAGAGTCAGTCTAAACATTACAAACTATAAGCATTTAGTGTTTTTTGTCCTGCTAATAAATATTAATTTCCTCGCTTTCTGAAGAATTTTTATGCTTTCACATAGATAGAAACCTAATTGTTCATGAGATGAAATAAAATATTGAAATTATATCTCTATTATGTTTTTCAGGGAATCCGAGCCCGAATTTTAGAAACTCTGGTGATGCTTATTCTCCTCGCATTACTTATTCTTGGGATAGTGTGGGTCGCCTCGGCGCTCATTGACAATGACGCTGCCAGCATGGAATCCTTGTATGGTACGGATGACTTGTGTAGGCCAGTTCCTCTGATGGTGGCTGTAGTGTGGGATATAGCTACACATTCACTTTTTAAGAGATTTTAATAATTCTTTGTATAGTTAACCCTTGTTGTTAATTTATAGAATTAAGAAGTCTTTAGACATGTTTATGAAGAGTGTTCGTGTGTGTCCTGTATGCAGAACTAGCAGGCAGCTTTTCAGTTTTGTTTTATTTTATTTTTTTTGATTAATTGGTTTCTGTTCTGAAATTCCATGGAGGCTTTTTTTCTCCCTCTGAACAGGTTTTGCCAGAAGAGTTATTTCCTGTTCTATTTTACATCTTTTTATTGTACAATTTAGAAATTACATGGTTTAGTAGACTCAAATAGGCAATATCATGTTTATTATACATTCATTTATAGTCAGCCTGTGTCTTAATGTACACTATTTTGTATTTACCAAAATATATTTACATTTTTTTATAGACCTCTGGGAGTTCTACCTACCCTATTTATATTCCTGCATATCATTGATGGGATGTTTGTTACTTCTCTGTAAGTATTTTTCTGACTTAATATTGATGGTGGAGTAGAGTCGTTCTGTGTTCTAGAAAATTATGGGAAAGTTTCCTGATGAGATTCCTTAAGCTCGGAGATTTTTTTAAAGTTGACCCTTAACTTTTTTTTTATGTTCAAGAGAAATTTTGATAAACAGAAACCTTGAAATAATAGTACACTGTATTGCTCTCTAAGGATAGCCTCTTCCACAGGGTTGGGGGCAGGGAGAGAGAGGTGCGTGTGCGCGCACACCCCACCCCCCATCATCACAATGCTAGATTCTACTTTTGAATAATAATGATGGAATTCTGTATGGTGAATTTGTGGTCTTTATTTGAAAATTTGTTTAGTTTTACTTGAGACATCACAATATATCTCAGGGATGTTATAAACAGGTAAATAAAAGGTTTTAAGATTGTAGTTGTCACTGTTAGATATTCTTGTCTGGTTCTCAATTCCATTAGTACTTGAAATTTAAAGTTTTTTAGTGGTTTTATTTAATTTCATTTAGGTGAAAATACTTAATATTCAACTGCTAGAGTCTTGCACATCCTAAGCCTTCTCTAGTTTTCATATATCTTTCATTAAACACAGGAGGGCCCATCCTCTGCATGCCGTCCTCTCTAGCTGCCTTATTGATGACGAGGAAGAGCCCTCTGACAAAACGAGAGAGGCTGAGTTTGAGACAAGAATTTTCTTAAAACAATGATCTTTGAGTTTGCTCTGTTTTTTGGACTGGCAGTTATCTGTCTGACTCTGACGTGAGCTTTCTGTCTGTCGGTGTCTTCTCGCTCTGCAGTGTGCACCCCAGTTGGCCTCTCCCGCATGTTCACAGTAATGGGCCAGTTGTTGGTGAAGCCAGCAGTAAGTATGTCATTGTAAATCATAAATGTGTTTACATTAGAACATCTGTTAGGTTTCGAACCAGCATTCAGAAACATAAGAATATTTTTGTGGGTTTATGCCCCAAATTGTTGTTTTTAGTTTAATCTTTTTCACCTTTGGAACCCAAATTTGTTTTTGCTTTTAAAATACTAACTGTAGGCACTCAGGTAAAAATTCATCTAGCAAATTTTAAGACAAAATTTACAAATGTTTACAGGTATTTTAGGTGTCCATTATCTTATATCAAATAGTAGCTCTATTATGTGTCAAAATTTATCACATATATTCTTTGATTTACAAAGCAGTTATGTTTCTGAGAATTTGTATGTTATATCTTGATTAATTGAATTATACTTTTCTCTTTAATCTCAGAAATACTATACTATATATTCGTTTAAAAATGATTTTCATTTGGTAGTAATGCTAATGATTTGTTCCGGAGTTTCTTGGCTTCAAGCTATATTGTCAAATATTTAATAATATGAAAATAATTTTTAGCTACTTCTAGGTAATTTGCCACTTAAATGATTTTCATGGATCCTCATTGCCTACCAACTGAAATTTAAACTACTCTCATGTGACAGGGCCTTTCACAACCCTCCCACACTGAATTTACCGCCAGCTTCCTCCCTGTGCTGTCCCCACGTGTCTCCGGCCTCCCCCCACCTTGACTCTTAATTCTGGACTCACCAGCTGCCTTGCTGTGCTTGGAACAGGCTGTTTGCTTTCTCTTACCCAGGCGTGTCTGGAGCTTTCTCCCGCCAGTGCTTCTTAACTGCTCAGCCACTTGACAGCCTCCCGAAGGCCCAGCTCTCATAGCAGCTACATTCACTGCCTATCTTTGAACCATATCTCCTTCTTTAAGCTAAAATAATTAAGCTCCTTCCTCTGCATTTTTCATGTTCCCCTTTGTTTGTATTTCTCTAGTAGTCCTTATTAAATAATTATGGTTATATGTTTTTCTTCCTTATCAGGGTGATTGATGAAGGGAAAAAACTGAGGAAATAGTATACTAGATATTCTTTTAGTAAATGCTTGCTTAATTTTGAAAGTTTTTCTTTATAAGTTACAATCTCTTCATATTTTCTTTTTATTTATTATTTATTTACTATTTGGTGAGGAAAATTCGCCCTGAGCTAATGTCCATTGCCATGCTGTGGTGACATCCCATGTGCAAAAAATAGAGGAAGATTGACATGGATTTTAGCTCAGGGACAGTCTTCCTCAAACAAAAGAGTAAGATTGGCCGTGGATGTTAGCTCAGGGCCAATCTTCCTCACCAAAAAACAAAACAAAACAAACCGAAAAAACCACACGAACACTTGCGAAAACTTTTTTCCTCCCCAGCTAGAAGCTGGGAATCTTTCATCTGAACTAACGTAACATTTTATTTTCGCTTCAGTTATGACATTTATTTTAATCCTATAATTATTTTTTTGAATTCATCTTATCTCTCCTGGACACTAGAATATAAGCTGTTTGAGGTCAAGGACTATGTCAATATGTCAGACCCATATTTAGGTCTCCATCAGCCCAGAGTAGTTACGAGCATAGGCTTTGAAGGTAGATAGCTTTTCTTTGCCAATCCTTTGTTTCTTGGCATATTCCGGGATGGGGCTGATAATAGTGTGTTTTCCATAGGGTTCATAAGAGCATCACAGGGATGATGCACTCAACACAAATACCTGTGAGCCGCCCATTGGCCCTCACTCACACCCAGGCAGACCTCTGGCAGTGAGGCCTTCTTGAACTGCCTGCACAGTAAGAGGAGACCCTTTGGTGTGTGTTAGACCTTAGGAAATGTCAACATTGTCAATTGGATCCAAACAGTAGAAAGTGATTGCAAAAGAAACTTCATATCATGGCCCACAAAGATGAGGTTTCTGCCTTCATGCCGGAGTCAGTCGTGGGTTACTCAGCCCTGAGTTCACTGCCTCCAGTGCACTGCTTTCAACGTGACTGTTCTTCCCACTCGGGGCTCAGGTGTTGTCTGCTCAGAGAGGCCCTCGCTGGGGCTTTGCTGAAGTAGGTCTCCCCTGCCCCTTTCTTCCTGTCCCTCCCTTGCTCACAGGATGTTCGTCTTTTGTAATTATGTATTTGCTTATTATTATTTGTTCTTATTTTATTATTTTATTTTGTTATCAGTGCTTAGGCCATAGGAGTTTATCAATATTTGTTGAAATGCTGGGAATTATTGGATTACTTTAAGTAAATTTTGTATAAATTCTGCAGATTTGATACCTGGTAGGGATTGCATGATTTGAGACTCCTTTTTCTAAAAATACCTCATCAGGGAGCTGAAAGGATATACATACATAGAGTTCCCATCATTTTATTTTGCCCATCAACTCATCATGATTGTTTTGCTGGGAATAAGTAGTTTGGTTTGAATGATACAGACCATTGATATCAGCTCTGGGCTTCTTTCAGATTTTTCCCAAAGCTAAGAAGATACTTGGGATCATTTCAAGAAGGATAGCTATGTTAATAAAACTAGAATTAAACAAATTTTAGGTTTTTTCAGTTTTGAAGACAGTGCAGATAATATCCCTTATAATTGGTTATTGATTAGTGGTTTTTTGGTTGGTTGTTGTTAGTGTTATGTGGGTGGTAGTGAGTGTGTATGTGTAAGCATACAATTTCTCTAGGGTTCTGTCCATAGGATGATTTTTTTGAAGAAGAAGATCAGCCCTGAGCTAACTGCTGCCAATCCTCCTCTTTTTGCTGAGGAAGACTGGCCTTGAGCTAACATCAGTGCCCATCTTCCTCTGTTTTATATGCGGGATGCCTGCCACAGCATGGCTTGATGAGCAGTGCCGTTTCTGCACCTGGGATCTGAATCGGCAAACCCCAGGCTGCCAAAACGCAACATGCGCACTTAACTGCTGCGCCACTGGGCCAGCCCCATATAGGATGATTTTGATAATACCAGCGTTCAGTATTTGTGGAAAATTTTTAGTATACAAAGATGATGTAAATGGAAAGTATTGCACGGTAGTGATGTAGTTTATGGATTTCTTGTTTTAAACATTTTGTAGGTAAATATAGATGAGAAACCAATGTTGGGCTGGGTGATGTATTCCTTCCAGTGCTAAAATACTGGCTTGGGCATAAAGAGATATTACGGTATTTAGCTTTTTGGGTGTTTAGAATTCATATATTTGTTTGGCATTGAGAGAGCTGCAGAGTTCTTTAATTCTTTAAATTTAAAAAATATCCAATTTAAATGTCAGTTTTGTGATAATCAGCTTTTGATGGATTTAGTTATGTATTAAAATATTTTTACTTAAAAATTAAAAATAGAAATACCATATGACCCAGCCATCCCACTACTGGGTATCTATCCAAAGAACTTGAAATCAGCAATTCCAAAAGTCCCATGCACCCCTCTGTTCATTGCAGCATTATTTGCAGTAGCCAAGATGTGGAAGCAACCTAAGTGCCCATCAACACATGATTGGATAAAGAAGATGTGGTATATATATACAATGGAATGCTACTCAGCCGTAAAAAAAGAATAAAATCGTCCCATTCACAACAATGTGCATGGACCTTGAGGGTATTATGTTAAGTGAAATGAGCCAGATAGAGAAAGACAATCTCTGTATGACGCCACTCACATGTGGAAGTTAAACATGTAGACAAAGAGAACAGATTAGTGTTTACCTGGGAAACACTAATCCTGGGGGGTGGGAGGCGGGCACAAAGGGTGAAGGGGTGCTCCTACAACACGACTGACAGACAATAATGTACAACTGAAATTTCACAAGGTTGTAAACTATCATAATCTCAAGAAAATAAAAAAAATTTTTTTTACTTAATTACTAAATAGAATAGGTTGAGCATTTTTATTTTAGATTCCTAGTAATTTGAATGATTATCTAAATTATAGGCCAAAGAGCCTAATTATTCTCATAAGCACTAGTTTTGTAATCTTGTGTTATTCAATTATTTGATCTTTTAGATTCTTGAAGACCTGGATGAACAAATTTATATTATTACCTTGGAGGAAGAAGCGCTTCAGAGACGACTAAATGGTGTGTATACATTAACATGTTTAGGCCAGAATAAAAAATATTCAATTCAAAAAAGACAGACAGTTGAGGAGGAAAAATACAAGCCTCTGAGTACCTTGTGCTGTTGCATGAGGTCAAGACTTCAGAGCCGTGTGAACTTTCTAGGTGAGGAATGGTTTGCTGAAGACTAGCGGCATTTTGGGAAAGTTGCCGTGTTTTACCGACTGGAATTAGCTGTAATCTAGCAAGGTCAATTCAGTTCTGAGACACTGGCCACTGAAGTGTCCCCCCGCTCACAAGTCCTGCTGTGTTTAAGCACTGGGACTTACAGCGCTGAGGTTTTGCAGATTCGCGTGCTGTCTTAGCAACTGTGATATCCCTCCTGCAGTTCTCGCCTCTGGAAATCTTTAATTAAACGGAAAAAACATAGTGTGTTTCTTGGATACTAAGGTGCCCAGTTTGACTCTGTAAATACGTTGTACTTAGGAACTCTGTTGTTATTTGGGAATGGTGTTCATTATCAGCTGGTAACCGAGTAAGCATGTCAGAGATTTTAAAATTTAATTTTTAATTACTAATCATTTGTGGCTTCAAATGAAGAACCAATGAAGACAAGAGTAATGACATAGTTTAATAGAGAAATGACATAGTTTGAGTAAATTTTCTTTTGATTTTACTTAAGTGATTTCACCCTACACTCTTTTCTCTTGCAAAGTATGTATTTTTTTATTTTTTTATTTTTTATTTTTTTTTAAAGATTTTATTTTTCCTTTTTCTTTCCAAAGCCCCCTGGTACATAGTTGTATATTCTTTGTTGTGGGTCCTTCTAGTTGTGGCATGTGGGACGCTGCCTCAGCGTGGTTTGATGAGCAGTGCCATGTCTGCACCCAGGATTCGAACCGACGAAACACTGGGCCGCCTGCAGCGGAGCGCGCGAACTTAACCACTCGGCCACGGGGCCAGCCCAAGTATATATTTTTTTAATGTTGAAAACTCACCACCAAGATCAGATTATTAATAGTTCACTGTATTTCAGAATCATGATTCAAGAGTAGGTATAAAATAGGTTACTTGAAGTATAAAATACTGAGAAATAGGAAGAAATATACCTACTTTCTTAAATTACAAATAGCAAATTTAAATCATCAACCTAAAAGTGTTGATAACATTGAGAGCTTTGTTCTTACATCCAGGAATTTCAGATTGTATCTATTCTAGAGAATTCTCGTCAGTAATGTTGTATACTTTGGTATATTGATAATTTTTAGACTAGAACTACATGTACTTTTTATTCCCCTAACTTCATTAAAACTATTTTAACATTTAGGCCTGTTAATTCCGGAATTGTCTTTAATCAGTACTCTCAGCTTTATAACAGTTCATCGAAGTAGTCAATATTATAATAAATTTGTCTCATTTAGATAATCGTGCTGTTGTGTAATAAACATCCCTGGATTATAAAGAACAGACGTCAAGCTGCCACCTGCGGTTTAGGATTCCGTGTCCACCTGAGGTGTATGCTGTTTCTAGCTTACAGATCAGGAGGCTAGGATCCAGGAAGGATGAAATATAGTGCTCCTGAATTAAAGAATTTGGATTAAGTCTAATCAAAACAAAATAAAAAATAGAGCCTTTTCTCACTTTGCTCTTCCACACTAGGAAAAAAAAGTCCCTCTAGAATCTCTCTAGATCTTTTGGCTCCTCAGATCAAAATTGGTTCATCTCTAAAGAAATTGAAAAGGAAATACTTGCCAGAAGGCTAAAGTATTATAAACTGAAGCCAAGCCAAAATAAACAAAACACCCCAACTAGCACAGAAGTGTTATAGTTTGGAGATTAAGGATTAAGGATGATATGATAGCTAATGGTAAGTGTAATTTTATTTTCTACGAATTTGGTAGGCCGTGCACCACTTCTGACTGCTCTGTCGGTAGGTTGTTGTTAAAATCTTTCCATGAGGCTGTTTAATGATATGCTGAGATGATTGCTCTAGTTTTGCTGTTTGCTGCTGGTTAACACTGTGGACTATTTCTAGTGAAAAGTAATAGGCTTGTAACATAAATCATTCTATGGCAAAATGGACATTTTGAGTAATATAGAGCAAAAATTGTGAGCTTCTGCAGAGTGTATCATGTGCAGAGGAACAAACTAAGATGGAACAAAATAGTATTTTATGATTTGCTATTTTTGAGAAAGTGTAGATCCTAGGAGGTTAGTAGTAGAAATCATCTCCATGGATCTTATTTAATCTAATATTGTGTCAAATGTATTTTGTTATAACGGTTACTTTATATTTTTTAAATTATTATTATAATTATTATTTTTGCTTGAGGAAGATTGTCGCTGAGCTAACATCTGTGCCTGTCTTCCTCTATTTTGTATGTGGAATGCCGCCACAGCCTGGCTTGATGTGTGGTGTGTAGGTCCACACCCAGGATCTGAACCCACAAACACTGGTTGCCAAAGCTAAGCACATGAACTTAACCACTGTGCCACTGGGCTGGCCCCTATTTTAAATTATTTTTAAAAAGTGAAGTTTTTACTTTTTTTTACTTTGGGCTGTTGAAAAGATTTGCAGAATGATGAGAATAAAAGATTTTTAAAAAAATACCCCAGAATTTGTGGTGATATTTTGCTAATGGCACATTGAGTGTACTGTCTTGGTCTGTGTGGAGATGTGACACGCCGCACAGGAGTCTTTGGGATTTCTACATGGTTTGCTCTGAGCCCAGCTTTACAGCTATCTGAAAAAACATGATAGTTACTGTTGAGAAGTGCTTTACTGTTGGGGCTGGCCCCGTGGCCGAGTGGTTAAGTTCGCGCGCTCCGCTGCCGGCGGCCCAGTGTTTCGTTAGTTCGAATCCTGGGCGCGGACATGGCACTGCTCATCAAACCACGCTGAGGCAGCGTCCCACATGCCACAACTAGAAGGACCCACAACGAAGAATACACAACTATGTACCGGAGGGCTTTGGGGAGAAAAAGGAAAAAATAAAATCTTTAAAAAAAAAAAATAAAAAAAAGAAGTGCTTTACTGTAGGAATAACACTATTTTTTTTCTGAAAGATAATGTGACTTGTGGTGGTTACTATATTACTGGAGTTGCATTTTCAGTCCCAGTTTTAAAATGTCAGTGTGTAGCTTTATGATGGAGTGCCTGCCTGGGACTTCTCCGTTGTTCCTGTTTGACACTTGATGGTGCTAGAGGTTTGCTTCTTGTTGATATTGTGATTGCTTCATAAGATATGTTAATAAAATAAAGCTAACCTGTGCAGCACGAATGTGAATCCGTGTCCTAAAGAAGCCGCCCTGTTACAGTCTCCTCCACTGTTTCTCCTCCCTGTTGTTTCCTACATATCTTTGTCTAAGCACTAGACGTTTTTGTAGATGAATTTAGACTCTGAGTCTCCAGATCATAGACTAATTGACTGAAGAAGAGACAGAAAAGGGTAAGAATCTATAAAGATTTTATCCAGTGCTGAAACACTTCAAAAAAGAACTTGAGGGAGAGGCGTTCTTTGTGTTCCTGGAGCAGGAGGGAGCCCCAGAGTTCTGTACCATCTGGTTAAGATGGCTCCTCCCTGATGTCCACATCATCAGGGCAGGAGAAAAGAGATGTCTCCAGAAATCACCACGATCCTGGCAAGACTCCCGCTCCTCCTGGTCCCCCAGCATGCAGCCTCACCCTGCGGTCTGCCTCAAGGCGGTCAGCAGTGATCCATGCATTTTGCCCTTTCCCCCTTTTCTGATAGTCAGCACAGGGAGCCCAGCATATCTAGGTCCTTGGCATCTCAGAGTTGCTGTCCCTCAGGTCTCTGTGCTTCCCATTTCTGACCTAATTTCTCACTGTCCCTAACTCCTGAAACTTTCTGCTTGTACCATTTGGAACTGAGAGTTAACCTAGCTACCAAACCCTTAGATCCTCAACCTTGACTCTGGCTCGAAGAAACGTGGTTCCCGTAGCACACATTGCTTCTCCTGGAACTCTCTCAGGTGGCAGCTCTGTTCTTTCCCACATCTCTCATTTTACCACTCCTGGAGTTTGGGTAGTGTCCTCGTGTTCTCTATTGCTGCTTTCAACACTTTGAATCTCGTGTCATTAGACTGTGAACTGATTACTTCTTCCTTTTTCCTTTTGCAGTCACTCTTCACCCTCCCAGGTTATTCCTGCTCCATCCTTGAGGATTTTAGCTCCCTGTTCATGATCATTCTCTCTGCTATGACACCTGTCATAATTCTTGGTGATTTCAGTGTCCATGTGGATGACCCTTCTAGCCCCCTGGGAAGTTCCCTGACCTCGGTCTTCCAATCATCTCCCTCAGCGCTCCCTCAGAGGGATTCTAACCCAGGCCTGGTCCTGAGCAGTAGCTCAAGTTCTTGCATAATCTCAAGATCAATCACCCCGCTCTCCAGCTCTTATTTTCCAGCTCACTTCCTCTAGTGCTCCATTTTGTACAATTCTTTAGTATTGAGACTTCACGTCCTATTTACTTATCCTCATAACTTTTTGTCACCCCTCCCCGCTCGTTTTCTTCACCCCTTCACTTTCTCACACAGTATAAATCCTCGGTCGTCGTTATAACCAGTCCTTCATGTGCACTTAGAATTCCCTTTCCCTCTCTCCCTTTACTGTACTTATGCCAAACTCCAGCCTTGCGTATGGCCAGCTCTTCACTCTGCACTCACATCTGTTCAGCTGACTGACCATAACTGCCTGGCCTTTCTTTAAATGTGTGACCGAGATCTTAAATTTGCTTTACATCCTCCTAGATGACTGCTTTATATCTTCTCTGTCACCCTTAGCTGATAAGCTTGCTTCCTGTTTTCTTGAGAAAATAGAAGCAATCATGACAAAAAATTTCACAGCTTTTTCCTTTATAATGGTTCACCTACCTAAAATTCCCCCTGCACACTGCCTTTTCTCCTAATGCTCTAGCTGAATTGTCTATGCTTCTGGCTAAGGTCAGCCCTCGCCTAATGCACCGGGTGCTATCCCTTCTCACAGATTCAGAGACAAAACT